ACAGAGAGAGACAGTGACCTTCCCAGTGTAAGCGCTTTAATACAGAGAGACAGTGACCTTCCCGGTGTAAGCGCTGTAATACAGAGAGACAGTGTGATCAGACCAGAATAGACAGCATGATCCACTTGAATACCCTGCATCACACCGCTGTAATCCAGACCCTCTCACTGACACAACCTCCTGTGGTTCAACAGGGAAAGGACAGCGGACTATTCCATGCTCCGCTTGTCTCCTTTAGGATATACTCAGGAGCTCTCTGAGCCTTTTAGCCTCCCGAGGATCCGGGGCCCCAGCTCCCACACCGGCTGTTCACTCAGCTCAGAGAGCTGGGGTGGGGGGATGCCGGACAGGCTTCCGAGAGTACACCAGGCTCTAGATCTGGGACATGGGGCATCATGGGTCACTGTGAAGGTTAGCCACGTGTGGACGGTTTGAATGAAGCTTCCAGACGCACACCAGGGCCTCAATAATCAATGCTACCATCAGTTATGAGGAAGGGTCATTGGACCTGAAACATTAACTCTGATTTTTCATCACAGATGCTGCCAAACCTGCTGAGCTTTTCCAGAAACTTCTGTTTTCGTTCCTGATTTACAGCATCTGCAGTTCTTTCGGTTTTCCTCAATAATCTTTGTTACCTTGTGGGAGTGAAGCCCTTCCTGGAGTTGGAATGGCAGCATTAGGAGGTTCGATAGTCGAAGTGGAGCAGTGGATGGATGTGACGGGTTTGGAATGTTGGGATGTACTTTGTTCACTGAACTGAAAGAAACTATTGCATTTGCATATTGCCTTTCACAACCACAGAATGCTAAGGAGAGCACGTTGCATCCAATTAAATCACTCTTGTAGGAAACACTGCAGCCACTGTGCACACAGCAAGCTTCCACTTATGGAAATGCATATCTGATTATCAAGAATGGCCTGATTCTTGTGAAACTGATTGAGGGGTAAATCTTGACCAGGACTGCCCTACTTCGAAATTTTGCCCTGGGATTTCTAACATCCACCAGAGGAGGACTTTGGTGGGGGGCTTGGTTTAACATCTCAGCCCCTCAGACAGTGCAGCACTCCTTCAGCACTGCAAAGGAGCACCAGCCAAGAGTTCAGGTCCTGGAGTGATTGCAGAGACAGGAGCAGCAGCTGAATCCGGGAACTGGGACACAAGGTATCCCTGGCTGCATCATCCCCTTCCACGGCGAAGTCAGCAAGAGCTTCATAAACGGGGAGATTGCAGGAATTTATTTACAAACAGTCATCAAATAGATGTGAATGAATGCAGCTTTGATGAGTGCTTAGACAGTACAGGAATAGAGGGAGACAAATAGTAGATCAGGGAGATACCAGAACAACTGCACTGTTAGAAACCAGCTTCAGAGAGGCAGGGAAACTCAATTCAAGCAAGAAGGATGAAATATTCCAACATTTTCTTGAGTTTTACTGCAATCTGTGGCTTTAGATATATGGCTTTGAAAATGGAGTGGGATTTGTTAAATTGGATGATGTAAAAAATTTTGAGTATTGCTTAAATTAGAGATACTTTATCAACGTTTTTTCTCATGCACTCATCCAGGCAATTTGCAAGAATGCCTGGTACTGAGAAAATATCTTTTGTTTCAGAAATACTCAACTTCTGTGCTACCAATCACTTTTGTCATTAACCCCAGCCACACCGTGTGTTCTCACCGTTGATTACAAATGTCAGGCACTCGTCCTTGCTCATCCCTTCTTTATAAGTAGCATCGACGTATCCATAAATATAAAAGCTCCCTGAGCCACCGACAGAGAATGGTTGTCGGATAATCATCCCTCCAAGAGTGGCATAGACCTGGATTGGGAGCGTAGATAGCACAGCTCAGTTCCAAGTATTTGTTAAAGATAAGAAGTGTTTTGTGAGTTCTGATTTCTTTTGAAAAACAGACAGTAAGGGTGATGAGAGTAATGAAGTAAAAGTACTATATTAACTCTTAAAAGGCATTATGAAAGTGGAGCAGAAACAGGCCATTCAGCCCATTGAGTCTGCTCCACCATTCGGGGAGATCATGGCTGATCTAATAATCCTCAGCTGCATTTTCCTGCCTTTTCCCCATAACCCTTATTCCTTTACAGATTAAAAATCTCCCTATCTCAACCCTGTATAGACTTAATGACTCACAATCACAGTAAAAAATTCCACATATTCACTCCCCTCTGAGAGAAGAAATTTCTCCTCATCTGTGTCTTAAATGTGCAAATCCTTATTCTGAGATTATACCCTCTGGTCCTAGACTCTCCCCCAAGGGGAAACAACCTCACCACATATCCCCTGTCAAGTTCTCTAAGAATCTTTTATGTTTCAATAAGGTTACCTCTCATTCTTCTAAACTCCAATCAGTATGGGCTCAATCTACCCTGCCTCTCCTCATAAGACAGTCCCTCCAAACCCGGTATCAGCCTAGTGAACCTTCTCTGGACTGTCTCCATTATGAGTCTCTCTTTCCTTGATTAAGGGGAAGAAAACTGTTCACAGTATTCCAGCTGTGGTCTGACTAGTGCCTTGTATAGTTTCAGCAAAACCTCCCTGTTTTTATACACCATTCCCTTTGAAACAAAGGCCGAGCATTCCATTAGCCTTCCCTGTGACCCTCTGAACCTGGATGCTTGTTTTTCCTTCAGATCAAAGGTGACTCTTATTGATGGCAGGAACCTGCACATGGAGTATTTCACCATGAGGAGGCAGCGGTTCCCACATGGTCCTAGCTGAGCAGAAACTCTGTCACACTTTTGCCAATCTGTAGGTGTATCTGAGGATTTATGAATCAATAATCAACCTGTTTCATCACGTTAAGACACACCTTCCATCACCTTCTCAGTCTGAGCTCAGCCTGTTTTTTTTTAATGGCAATGTTGCCCATCCCTAATTGCCCTTGAACTAAGAGGCTTGCTGAGCTTTCAGAGGGCAGTTGAGAGTCAACCACATCACTGTGTATCTGGAGGCATGTGGAGACCAGACCAGGTTCAGGGCAGCAGATTTCCTTCCCTACAGGAGGTGAGTGAACCTGCAGGGTTTTTGCAATGATCTAACAATAGTTTCATGGTCACCATCACTGCTTCATGTTCCGGATTTGAATTCATTTGAAGTTAAATCCTACCAGCTGTCTTGGAAACATTAAAAAAAGGAACAGGAGTAGGCCATTCAGCCTTGCTCCACCATTCAATATAACCACTACTGATCATCCATTCAGTCACCTGTTACCACTTTCTGCCATATCTTTGATACCTTTAGACCTAAGATCGATTGTAACATGAGACAACAAGGTGCAGAGCTGGATGAATACAGCAGGCCAAGCAGCATCATAGGAGCAGGAAGGCTGACGTTTCGGGCCTAGACCCTTCATCCTAGG